ATTAAGAGAATAACAATTAAAATATATACATTAGAATAAAATAAGCCGCCCTGGCCAAATAAAATTCAATAGTATTAACATTTAAAATGCTGCTTAAATAAAAAGGTCTTTGCCTGGCGCCGAAAAACAAACAACGACGGCGCCAGGCGGACCTCTCTGGGGAGCGCATTCCATAACTTTCAGTCCATTCCATTGACTATTTGCTTTTCAAGAAAAGGACACACATCTCCCTGCTTGTGGAAAGCTAGCATGGAAGTCAGAGGCCAAGGTTATAACTTCCTTCCAAACATGTTATGTTTGCATGAACAGAATTCTTGACTCAAAGAGGTGCCCATTTATCCAGCGAATGCCCTCCCTGCTGTCTAGATACTGAAATCTCATGCATGTTCAAGCACACCCAGAGGTAGAGTCTTCAAGAGCCTTTAATGAAATTCTGATGTCCATTGCAACTACCAGTCATTGCTCAACTTTGGGTCCCTCCCAGACAGTGTTGGACGACAAACCGCATCACCCCCAAATCTTTGTCCTTACTGTCTGGGGATAGTGGGAGTTGTAAGTCCAACATCATGTGACAAGGACCCAAAGTTGGGAAAACTGGGATATTGATTACATGTTTCTTATGTTACAGCTACATGTCTAGAAAACCGAAGAACTGGCAATTCGGCTTTCTCAAATGACATATGCTGCCTTCACTTGCCTTAACCTTATTTTTACTAACCTGACTGCAATATCATCCATCAAATATATCTTCAGTTTGCAAAATATTATCGTAGGCCAAAAGGTCAAAAGTCCTAGTATTCCCAGCCGTCGGGATTGTAGGATTGTTTCCTGCTTTAACATGCATAGGGTAACATCCCTACTTCAACAATGCATTTTAAAACCTGCTATTAAAATAAGCACTTATAAAGTTGGCTGCTAGCTGGAACAGTCTGATAAAATGCACTCCCTTTTCATTCTCACAAAAGAGCCTTTCTGTCTCTAATATGAGGAGAAGATCTTAAGATGGGGCCTTCTCCAGTCTAGCCCTTGAAAAACTGTTGATCTTTCGTTCTCCAAAACTGTAGGGTTTTCTATTTGCATATTCTGGTAAGGTTTAATCAATTCATGTTCCAGGTTTAATTGAGGAATCAATATTAAGATTGCATTAATTGGTTGTAAACTTTATTTTCTGTCCAAATGGGGTTTCTCACCTTGGTTTCATGGCATCCTAGAGTTGGAAGGAGCTTAGAAGGCCATTGAGTCCAACCCCCTGCTAGTGCAGGGCTCCCAGTTAAACCATCCCTCTCAGATGGCTGCCCAGTTTCTTTCTGAATGTCCCTGGTGTGGGAGAGCCCACCACCTTCCTGGGTCATGGGTCCCTTTGTCCTACCACTCAACAGTCCAAAGGTTCTTCCTGTCCAAATCTTCATTCCTGTAACTTCAGCCCGTTATTCCATGACCTGCACTTTGGGATGACTGAGGACAGATCCTGGCCCTCCTCTGTGTGACAGCCTTTCAAGGATGTGAAAAGTGCCATCATATCACAGCCGAATGGAGCTGTCATGGAGAGGAATTTTGGAGGGCTTTCATTCATAGGGACATGCCATGAGCAGAGCCAGCTGGAGCCGGGGGTCAGACTAGATGTCCCGGGAGACCCCTTCTGACTCGCTGTTTCTGTGTCACCATAGGTCCAAAACAACATGATGACACATAATGACAACATTCTGTTTCCCTCAGTCTTCTCTTCTCGAGGCTAAACATGCCCGGTTCTTTCAGTCCCTGGATCACCCTTGTTGCCTTCCTCAGAAACTTTTCCAGTCCTCTGCTAGGATTGAGCCTAGAAGATTCCCCTTGCAGGAATTCAGTACCATGACAAGTCCGGACAGCTCCTTGTGGACGCTTGGAACCTCCCTTGGTCCAGGACGAAGGCGAAATATCAGAACCACTTTTTCAGAACTGGAGGTTTTGAACTGTGGACCAAATCTGGCCCACTTGGTAGCAAAGTGTCTCTCTCCGGTGTTCCAGTGTGACCCAGTGCCGTTTCTTCAACCTCTGTCATTTGGTGGTTTCCCAGTTTTCTCTTCCTCCCTGGTGGAGTAGAAATAGTTCTACAGTTGAATTATTGGGATTAAGATCTTTACTGGTATTTTATTTATTTATTTATTTATTTATTTATTTATTTATATTTTTCGATGTATATCCTTCCTTTTTCCTACAAAGGGCTCAAGGCAGCTTACATCATTCTCCTCCATCTTATCCCCACAACAACAACAACCCCGTGAGGTAGGTTGGGCTGAGAGTCTGTAACTGGCCCAAAGTCACCCAGTTGGCTCCATGGCTGAGCGGGGACTCGAACCCGGATCGCCTGAGTCCCAGTCCCATGCTCTTAACCACTACACCACACTGGCTCTATTGTTTTTATTGTAATGTTTTATGCAGTATTGTAACCCTCTGAGAGAGTTTTGGCTATTGGGTGGACTAGCGATGAAAAAAAGTAGCAATAATCATTCTATTTTTGAAATTCTGGCATTCTCTGGTGGTTTCCAAGCTTTTGTGCAGTTTTTTTTTCTTCATTCAAAAATGCTGAAATGCTTTTCTGGAGGATTTGGAGTTATTCTCCAAAACTGAATTTGGCCTTTGGGCTAGAAGAGGTAAATGAATGGGAGTGAAGAAAATCTCTCTTTTTTTCCCTTTTAAGCTGATTGGTCTGAATGAAATTATGTGGAAAAACCCTAGTTCTGCTGTAGAGGGCTTAATCCCCTGTATCCCTGTTAAAGGAGCTTCGGCATTACAGATCGGTAGTGCCACTGCACTGGCTCAAAATACTGATATTTTACAGATTACCTTTCCTAATTCTGACCATCCTAGTATTTAAAATGTGTGGCTCTGTAGAAAATTTTCCCCCTTAGGAAAACCACATATGGTCAGGCCTTTTTGGTGGTGGCCTCCTAGCTCTGGAAATCTCTTGGTGTAGAGATTTGTTTGTCTGCCTCACTACTGTTGCTGAAGCATTAGATCAAGGCCTATTTGCGCAGGCTCTTGAGATGTATGTAGGAAATCACCCTTTTTATTTTTATTTTTGGATAGATTAATTCCATAAATGGGTTTGGTTGTCATGCATTATACTTTTGTGATTTTTAGCTTGTAATGTTGTTTAACTGTGGTATTGAGTTTTTTATAGCTTGCTAACGGCCCTGGACTCTTTTGTGGGGAAGCTTGGGATAAAAATTCAATCCAGCCAAATTGAGAAATATTCCTCTCTTGCCTTTCAGATGTGATTTTCAAGGCTTCACATAAGATGATTTAAAAAAAAATAGCACTAGTGCTCACAATATTGAAAGACATACATAAAGGCAGTTGGAGTAGATTGTACTGGATTTACTCACTACGAAAGATGCTAGAAAATTTTGCCTGTCAATCATCCAGGGTACAACTCAGTTTCCCTTTGTTGTTGTTCATTGCGAAGTCGCGTCCGACCCATCGCAACCCCATGGACAACATTCCTCCCGGCCTTCCTGTCCTCCACCATCGCCTGGAGTCCACCCAAGCTCACACCAACTGCTTCACTGACTCTGTCCAGCCACCTCATCCTCTGCCGCCCCCTTTTTCTTTTGCCATCTATTGTTCCCAGCATTAGGCTCTTCTCCAGGGAGTCCTTCCTTCTCATTAGGTGGCCAAAGTACTTGAGTTTCATCTTAGTATCTGGCCTTCTAAAGAGCAGTCAGGGTTGATCTCCTCTAGAAATGACTGGTTTGATCACCTTGTGGTCCAAGGGACTCGCAGGAGTCTCCTCCAGCACCACAATTCAAAGGCCTCAATCCTTCGGCACTCTGCCCTCCTTATGGTCCAGCTTTCACAGCCATACATTGCAACTGGGAAAACCATAGGCTTGACTATACGCACTTTTGTTGGCAGGGTGATGTCTCTGCTTTTTAGTATGCTGTCTAGATTTGCCATAGCTTTCCTCCCCAGGAGCAAGCGTCTTCTAATTTCTTGGCTGCAGTCCCCTTCCGCAGTGATCTTGGAGCCCAGGAAAATGAAATCTGTCACTACCTCGGTTTCTTCCCCATCTATTTGCCAGGAAGTGAGAGGACCTGATGCCGTTTTCCTAGGCAACCCAAAACATTTTGCATCAGTGGTTCTATTTGGAATTTCATAACACATGCATCTTTCTTAAGCAATACATTTATGTGCCATCAAGTTGTCTCCAAATTATGGTACCCCTATGAATGAAAGTCCTCCAAAATGTTCTAACCTTGACAGACCTTCTTGGGTTTACAAGACCTTTCCATTCCTTTATGGAATCGATCCATCTCATCATCGGTCTTCCCTTTCTTCTTCTATCTTCAACTTCTAGCATTATCATCTTTTAAAAAGCACGATCAAAACAAAAATACTTAAAAACATTATAACAAGGCAGTAATAAACTAGGGCATTGGCATAGTCCACCGTGAGGCAGGGGAGACTTGCATAAATTAACATGCCTTCAAGAAACGTTTAAAGCTCTGCACACTTGCGGCTTCTTGAACAACGGGAGGCTGCCCCAGAGGACTGGTGCCACCACCAAGAAGGCCTGCTGTTACTTGGCCACCCTCTGCAGGTTGTGGAAGGACCAGTGGGGCCTCCTTGGAGGAGTATAGGAGTCACCTGGGTGTATTTAGAGGAAGGCAGACAGTTAGGTATTGTTCCCACCTGAGAAGGCACAGTGCATGTTTTGATTGACCAAAATACTGAAGTTTGAATGTCCCTTTGTCTCTTATTCTAACCTTTCCTTCTGCGAATGACTTTCTCTTTCACAGGATGAGCCCTCCTGGTCAGCTGTTCCCATGAAACACTGCATTTTTGCCTAGAGATGCCAGTTGTCCAACACCACCGAAAATGCCCCGTGGATTTTGTGGACCCAGCAAAGGCCTGGGTAGTTAAGCCAGGTCTACAGCCCTTTTAGGAGGCCAGAGTGGCCCTTCCAGTTAAAGCCGTCATTTCTTTCTAATCTTGTCCTGAGGTAAATCTGACACAAAATGGCTGCTGAGAAGGGGAAAATGGCAAGGGATTGTCTGCAGCTCCAGGCTCTGTTGCAGCAGGGGATGAAGGCCAGGGAACATTTAGGGGAGGGTGACCTCAAACCTGGGGTGGCCATGGAGATAGTAGGAAGGGCTCCTCGTGAATTCAAAGCCGAGAATGACCAAGGGTTTCTAAAGATGGAGGTCCCGGGACATGATGCAGGCGACTCAGGTGAGAGGCAGGTGAAATGTTTGGGATCCCATGATGCCCAGGAAGGAACAGAGTTCCCACAGTCAGGGTGGGGAAGCCCCCAGCTGCCTGGACCTCCAGCTTGGGGGAATAATAAGGGTTTCCTGGCCTCCCTTGAGGGAGTGGCTAATGCATATCAGAGCTCCAGAGAACTGTCTGAGCTCACTAGAGAAGCCCAAGGAGACCCTGCAAAGATGGATGCCCCAAAGATGGAGGACGACTGGAGAGAGGACTCGGCCGCCATGGACGTGCAGCGGACGCTCTTCCGGCAGTTCCGCTACCAGGAGGCCGAGGGGCCCCGCGAGGCCTGCAGCCGCCTCTGGTACCTCTGCCACCGGTGGCTGAAGCCCCAGCGGCACACCAAGGAGCAGATCCTGGAGCTGGTCATCCTGGAGCAGTTCCTGGCCATCCTGCCCTCGGAGATCCAGAGCTGGGTGAAGACCGGCTGCCCTCGGACCTGCGACCAGGCGGTGGCCCTGGCAGAAGACTTCTTACTAAGGCGGCAAGGCCCCGGGCAGCCAGAACTGGAGGTGAGGACATGTCATGGTGCAGCTGGACAGCCGCCTGAGAGGGATGGCTTCACTTGGCTCCCTGCACTGAGCAGGGGTTGGACCTGGTGGCTTCCGGCCCCTTCCAGCTCTCCTGTTTTATGATGCTGTGATTCTCATGGGTGATTCCAGGAAATTTAGGGGAGCAACTCCCCGGTGTGGAAAGATGCAAATCTCCTGGGCCGCTTTGCCTAGGAAACAGGGTAACTAAGGGGAGAAACGCTAGAGGTGTACAAAACGATCGTGCTTATGGAAAGAGCAGATAGGGAGACATTTTTTTCTCTCCTGTGTACCTTGAGAACCCGAAAGGGTCCTCCTTGTGATGCTGATGGGTGGGAGATGCAGGACAGATAAAAGGAAGCTTTCTTTCACACAGTATGTGGTTAAATAGTGAAATTGGCTGTCACAGGCTGCAGTGATGGGTACCATGACAGGAGATGGGTATGCCCTTGCCTCCAGCAGGGACAAACCATCGCGCAGCTGATCTGCTCCCATGGTTCCCCCCATCTCAGCTGAAACAAGGGCTCTCCCATCCTGGAGGACTCCTTTGGGGCTCAGGGAATGGGGGTTCATCTTTACCACATCCTATGCACACCCCACAATCCTGAATCATGGGACAGCAAGGCACAGAAGGCATATGAAAAACAGCCGCATTCGAAAATAACAGTTTGGGTGAAGAGAGGTAAATCTGCTCGAAAGGGTGTGTAGGTATCGGTCTTCCTGTAGGACAGGGCCCAGTCTGGGAGTCAGAGGATCACAGGCTTGGGAGCACGGTGAAGGATGGAGACAAAAACTTGGAGCCCTTTTATGTTATGCTCAGACTCCTTAACAATTCAAGGTCGATCTTTGTAAGCCAGTTACAGAATATCTTACTTATTTCATTTCCATATTGCCCCATAGCCAAAGCTTCCTGGGCAATTAAATTTGGATAAATCCATGGAGGAGGAGGAGGCTATCCACACCTACTGGACCTGATGGCTATATTTAATTATGCTATTTTCTTTATTATTTATTGTATTGTGTTCCTGTATTTATTTTGTTTATAGCCCACCTTTATTTCTGCGAGGAAATAATTTTGCATAGTTTCCCTCCACTTCTGTTTTAGCCTCACAACAACCCTGTGAGGTAGGCCGGGTCAAGAGTCGCCCAGCGACTCAAAGTCACCCAGTGAGCTCCTTGGCTGAGTGTTGATGAGAATCTGCATTACCCAAACCCACTGCTGTGACTGCTAGGTAACACTAGTTCTTAATAGCAGAACTAGTAGGCCACAAGGTCTACCACTCAGAGCCAGATGTAAAATATTAATAATAGAATTATAAAATTCAATAATTTAATTATAATTATTATAATTACTTCATTTCTATACCATCCCACAATCGAAGCTCTCTGAGCAGTTGACACCAGTCCATAAAACAGATATTAAAATACAATAAAAATAAAATAATGGCTCAAAGAGGCTTCTGTACATATAGAATTAGAGCGTAGGTAGTATGCGTGTGTATACCAGCTGCTTAAATAAGGGAGAACTGCTAGTCCTCATGGTTACCTGCTTTCTCCAGTATTCAAAGCGGTTGATTGGCCACTGTGTGAACATGGATGCCAGAGTAGAGGTATGCTACTAGGGTAACTTTAATGAGTTTGTAGTATTAATATACAAAGGTCAAAATAATTTTGGACTGTGTTATTTGAGCAACGCCCTTGCCCCATCCACTCCTGCCTGTTTGTATCGGTCATTAAAGGGAGGCCTTTCTGCATCCCAGAAGCCTCTTGGAATCTTCCAATGGCCACACAAAAAGGGCATTTAGACCACAAAGTTATGCCTGTCTAGGTAGACAAAAGCCCTGCAACTCCCAGTCAAGCTGGCTGGGAATTTTCTTTCCCGTCTAAATATGCATGGAATTCTATGCTAGCTGCAATCAATCAATCAGTCAATCAATCAGTCACAAGCATTTATATCCTGTCCTTCCGCCAAGTGCTCAGGACGGCTTACAAAATATATAAAAGTACAATGTAAAACCTCAGTTATTAAAACAATGTAAAAACATCATGAACTTAAGAAAAAGAAGGAAAAAATAGAAAATGTGACTGTGAAGAGAGAAAAAGAAAAAATTGTAAAACATCTAAACCCCTTGATTATTAAAATAATGGTTGAATAAAATTGTCTTTACCTGGCGCCGGAAGGAATACAACGTTGGCACAATCCTATGTGTCTCTGGACAGAAAAAGTCACACAATTCCCAGCATTTTTCTCTTGACTGAGTACTTTACTGGTTACTCTTTTCGGCCCAAATATGCCAAAACAGACATTTGATTAGTTTTGATTCAGCATTTGTGATTGTCCCTTTGTATTCTACGTGACTAAATTTCTGTTTGCGTGGCATATAAACATGGTGATCCGATCGACTGATTTGAAAAAGTTTTATTTCTAAAGCACTGCACGGAATATATAACGTAAGTAATAATTGCTAAGAAAAGAAAGTGGGTTGGATTCCACAGTTCACGACTGGAAAATTCTCTCGCTGGCCGTGGTGTTTCTCTCCTCTTTGCTCCCTGCTGAAGGGTTCTAGAAGCTGGGCCCTTCGAACAGGATGGCCTCCAGGGCAGCGCTTGGGGGAAATGGATCAATTTCCTCGTATTTGCCCAGAACGCTGCTCCAGGCGAAAAAAGGGGGAAGAGCCAAGAGACGTCCTCTGCCTCTTGGAAGCCCGCCTGGCTTTGCTCCATTTCCTTGCGTGAGGACCCTGTTTCTTGTTTCAGGATTCGGCCCTGGTGCAGGAAGGGGCATTGGGTGTCTTCAAGGGGAGAGAGCACCCTCCATTCATCCCCGAAGAGAAGCGACTTTCCTCTGAGGCCAGCCAGGAGAGAGATGGCGAGAGCACCTTGCAGAGTAAGGATTTCCCTGCGTGCGCATGTGTGCGGTGTTGACGGCCCTGCGAACCCCAGATGGCTTTTTCTCACACCGCTCTCTTCCTGTCACGTATCAGGATGGCCAACACGCAACCCATGTGCCACATGCTTTTCCCTGGTTGTTTTTGCAGGGGGAGGGAGGGGTGATGTCCGCTTTTTATTCCAACCAGAAAACCTCAGTTGATCATGCTCAGTTTTCACAGAATCTTCTTGGAGTGGGGATAAGAGACACAGCACATTTGAGAGAAAGGGAATTAAATGTTATTACTGAACTCCATTTTACTGTGCGGAGGGAAGACCCAAGAAGAAGAAAAGCAGATCAAGAATTTTCCAGCAAATGGAAACACCGCAGGACAAATTGCTAGTGTGGATCCCTGAGGGTTAGCATACGCACATTTTCAGATCCCACAGAGTTCCTGGTCCCAAACAATAATCCAGCCACGGATAAGACAAAGCTAGGGACCAAAACAAGGATGGGACTGGAAGAACAGTAAATGCGAAAGGCAAACTTTCTCTGAAAAGATGCTCAGCAGACCGACCCTCATCCTTGTCTGTGCACTGATTTTGATGTCCCATGTGGACCTAAACTCTCAGTTCTTTTAACAGAAAAGATACAGACTGGGTTCAGACAACTTGACAAACCATGTTGGTCTGTTGTGCTGTCTGAACCTAGCTCTGGTATTTCTTCACAGCAAGTTTGGTCTTGAAAACCCACAAAAAGAAACAATGGTTTGTTCTGTGGTTCCTCTGCCACCTTGACTTGCTGTGTCTGAACCCAGGATCATGGTTTCCATGGTCCTGGTATGCAACTACCACAGAGTCCTCTGGAAAGAGTGGCAACTGCGGGGGGACCAATGAGGAAGAGGCAGGGAGTGATGCATCCTGGGGCTGAATTTCAGGCATGGCGGCTGATGGGATATGTGCCAACAGTTGGAGGACTGAGCAGGGAGGACGAAAACCATGAGAGAAACCATGATAAAGCAGAAACCACTTAATTGTCTGGTAGATCATGGTCAAGAACCACGAACTGTGGTAGCTGCGCAGCGTTGCTTGTGGTGCGAGCATACCCAGACTCTTCAGACCCTATAGGGTAAGGAGTGGGTGCTCCCCTGGTCCTCCCCCTAGTCTCCTAGGGCAAGGGCAGACCCAGAACTCATGGGGGCTGGAAGCCGGGGCTCACCTAGCCCTCCCTTCTTCCCTAAACCCATTTCCCTGTGAAGCTGTGGGCAGATATCTCTGTGCAAACAGCTTGATGTGCGCCGGTATATTCAGTCCTCCTGCTCAAACTTCCCAGTTGCTTTTGGGCTGGCCTTGTTCTTATGTTAAAAAAACCCATGCTGTCTTTATAGTTGCTTGTTCCTGTGGCACCCAATCTAGATTCTGGACCATGTTCTGGTGCCTTACCACAGTTTCTTTGTGAAAACATCGTGTTCTCTTCATGATTGCAGGCCAAACTCTCTCTGGGTCATTACAAGAAGCTTTGAGATTCAGTACCTCCTCCAGGGTTATACAAGAGCTCACCTCTTTGCATACATTCATTCAAGGATTAAAAATGAAAGAAGGTCATACATGCCAGTCCACAGCAGACCAACGTTCACAGATCTCTTTTACTAAACAACAGCATTTTCTATATCCATCCAGGGGCTTGATTAGTTCATACATTGCTAAGGGACCAATACACGGCTGGATTCGAGGTTACATAATATGAAGGAGGGAAATGTCATTACAAAGAATCAGCAATCTGAAAAGCTAGGCAGCTTTTCTTTAAAACAAGGTGTGGGGAATTAAGGAACAGGATGGCTTTGTCAAAAACCTGGAAAACTGGTGCTTTTTAGCATCAGCGGTGCAGCCCTCTGTCCCTGGAGGTTTCCAACTTCTGACCTAGGGTTTATAATTTCTCATGCCTTCTTTGAAACCCATAATCTCTGAACACCAGTTTTCGACATACGCAGAAGATTTTCCTGAGATTTCTGTCTTTCCGGGAAGCAATAAAGAGTCTCATGTAATGTTTAAGCCTGGCATGTTTATTGTGGCATCATCTACCAGTTGTGGTTACTTGGGTTGATGAAAATCTTCTCTATTTTCCCATGCAAAGTCGGGTTTGTTTGCTAGGATAATCATAGATGATATTTTCCATCTTTAGGGTTTAACTTCTCAAGTGTCATTTTCTGTTTTCCAGCAGGTGATGGGTGGATGACAGAGAGCAAAGAGGAGAAACCCCAGTTAGAGAAGAAAAAAACAGTGAAACTTTGTGGGACCCCTTGGGGAACTCTCCCTTGGCCCCAGGAAGATGGAGAAGCTTCTGCGAGTCAGGAGGGGTCTGAGAAAGGAAGGAAAAGTTGCCTAGATCCCAGAGCGGATGCCTTGTTGCCATATTTAGAAGAAAGTGGGGAAATGAATCAAACAATTGTTGTCAAGAGAAGGCGCCGAAGCCGGGGAGAAAAGGTCTGTGGCGTGTGTGGGAGAAGCTTCAGCCGGACCACAGTGCTTGTTGCACATCAGAGAACCCACACTGGGGAGAAGCCGTTCATGTGCAAAGATTGTGGGAAATGCTTCAGTTTGAAGTCCACCCTGGTGGCGCATGAGAGGACCCACACGGGGGAGAGACCTTACACCTGCTCACAGTGTGGGAAGAGCTTCACCGTCAGCTCAGATCTCACCCGGCACTATCGGATCCACATCGGTGAGAAGCCATTCAACTGCCTGGAGTGCGACAAAAGCTTCAGCCGGAAGACGCAGCTTCTCAACCATCACAAAGTCCACACGAGGGAGAAGCCGTACAAATGCTCACAGTGCAGCGAGTCCTTCAGCCGCAGCTCCAGCCTCATGATCCACGAGGGCTCCCACACGGGCGAGAAGCCCTTCAAATGCCCGGACTGTGACAAATCCTTCAACACGTCCTCCCAGCTGGTCAAGCACCACCGGGTGCACACGGGCGAGAGGCCATACACCTGCTCCGAGTGCGGCAAGAGCTTCAGCCAGAGGCAGATTCTGATGGTGCACCAGAGGATCCACACGGGCGAGAAGCCTTTCAAGTGCGCCACCTGCGGGAAATGCTTCTGTGACCGGGCCGTCCTCATTCGGCACCAGAAGGTCCACACGGGGGAGCGGCCACACCAGTGCGCCACCTGCGGGAAGAGCTTTTCCCACCGAGCTGTCCTTGTTAGACATCAGAAAATCCACACCAGGGAAGCTCTCAACATCCTTTCGCTGGAGGAAGAGCCAAACGATGCCTCCTAAAGCTCAGTCCCTTCAGGAGTGGCTCGGATGTAGCTTCAGGTGACTCGTCGCAACTTCATAGAGTGCGGGTTTAGACATGTGCTGAGCCAGTGGCCCATAGGGTCTTTCTCTCTGGTGTGCCCACAGTGGGGTAGAGTAGACCAGAAGTGTGCAACCTCACACCCATAGGCCAGATGTGGCCCTCTGATACTGTGTAGCCTGCAGAGCACCCTTGTGGTGTCCTGGCTTGAAAACATTTATGTTCCCATTGTCATCATTGTTTTAACTTGTCTCTTTTCTATACCACCCAAGAGCAGAAGGTCTCTGGGCTTTTCCCAGCCATTTATCCACGCAGAATCATTCTTAAAAGCTGACATCGGGAAGGCTGGCCTGGGTCTTCGGGGTTGGATCATCAGCAGTAAGAGGGTGTTGTTGTTGTTAGCCGCAAAGTTGCATCCAACCCATCGCGACCCCACAGACAACATTCCTGCAGGCCTTCCTGTCCTCCACCATCCCCCAGAGTCCACTTAAACTCACACCCACTGCCCCAGTGACCCCATCCAGCCACCTCATCCTCTGCCGCCCCCTTCTTCTTTTGCCATCTATTGTTTCCAGCATTAGGCTCTTCTCCAGGGAGTCCTTCCTTCTCACTAGGTGGCCAAAGTATTTGAGTTTCATCTTCAGTATCTGGCCTTCTAAAGAGCAGTCAGGGTTGATTTCCTTTAGGACTGACTGGTTTGATCGCCTTTCAGTCCAAGGGACTTGCAGGAATCTCCTCCAGCACCACAATTCAAAGGCCTCAATCCTTCGGCACTCAGCCTTCCTTATGGTCCAGCTTTCACACCAATGCATTGCAACTGGGAAAACCGTAGCCTTGACTATACGCACTTTTGTTGGCAGGGTGATGTCTCTGCTTTTTAGTATGCTGTCTAAATTTGTCATAGCTTTCCTCGCAAGGAGCAAGCGTCTTTTAATTTCTTGGCTGCAGTCCCCGTCTGCGGTGATCTTGGAGCCCAGGAAAATAAAATCTGTCTCTACCTCCATTTCTTCCCCATCTATTTGCCAGGAAGTGATAGGACCTGATGCCATGATCGTAGTTTTCTTGAGGTTGAATTTCAAGCCAACTTTTGCACTCTCCTCCTTCATCCGCATCAAGAGGCTCTTTAGTTCCTCTTCACTTTCTGTCAGTAGAGTGGTATTATCTGCATATCTCTTACACTGGTCTACAAATTTTGGGAAATTATGGACTGTGGAGATAAAATGTGCTAATTCTTTCATATTTTGATTAGATGAATTAGAAAACAGATGATAAAGGTGCTGGTTGGCTAAAGTTTTCAAGATACTTTGCAATAAAGATTTATACACAGGTGAGTATATTTGCCTCCAAGGGTGGGAGGTGTCCGATGATCATGATGCCTCGTAACTTCCCGAGCAAGTATAGTAGAACAATGAAAATGCTACCACGTGGAAGTGTATACATTTATCTTCACTTTGAGACTAAAGATTATTACCTAACTAATTTATTGTTCTTTTATTGCAAGGTGCATTTGTCTTGGTCAGATCCACGCATCATACAGTTACATCTGGTGGCTTGCAAAAGTCTCATTGCCTAACATTTCCAAGGAACAGTTGCGTGATATTTTCCCTCAGAAGCCAAGACGCCTCCAAACTGTGTAAACAATGCAGATAACTTCTGTTATATTTGTGGTATTACATTTGCATCTCAAAAGTGCCGTCTGACAGCAGTGGTCAAAAAGGCATCCCACCTCTATTTTGGATGCAAAATGGGGGATCAGGACAAGAGGTGGGCCTCTCATTATGGCTGTGTTCCATGTGCAACTTCTCTGCATCGTTGGCTAAACAAGAAGAAAAGGTCTACGCCTTTCGCCATCCCAGTGGTGCGGAGGGAACCCACCAATCATAGTGGCGACTGCTATTTTTATTTTTATTATTTTATTTTATTAAAACATTTTTATGCCGCCCCATTCGCCAAAGCCTCAGGGCGGCTTACAACAAATAAGTTAAATAACATTTTAAAATATATACATTAAAATAAATTACGAATATACAATATAAAATAAGCCACCCTGGCCAGAAAAATTCAATAATACTAACATTTGAAATGCTGCTTGAATAAAAAGGTCTTCGCCTGGCGCCGAAAAACAAATAACGACGGCGCCAGGCGAACCCCTCTGGGGAGCGCGTTCCATAACTTAGGCGCCACCGCTGAGAAAGCCCTCCTCCACCCTCCATGGTTCCCCCAATTGCAAAAGGGATCTCAAGAAAGAAGTGGACCGTGGAATAGCCAAACATTCCACCTGCACTGCGTTCTGTACCCCGTAGGGAGGACTTGCAAATTCCAGATCCACCAGACCCCCATTCTCTAGACTTAGATGATGATAAAGATGGTAATTTTGAATTATTTCGATGCAATTTTGACCTGAAGCTGTATCTTGGAAACTGGAGCCAATTCATTCTCAGGGCTTAGTTTTCCTTTGTCAGTGACCCAGTTCTGGTAAAATTTAGCTACTTTCGTTTCCGAGGCTTTCTCCGTGTAGACCAGTGTTGTCAAAAGGGATGTAGAGATGGGAGAAGAAGGCATTTCAGGAAAGGGAATTAGCAGGAAGTGTGAGCAAATGACAACCAATTCAGGAGGATCGGGTTCAGGAGAGACTGTCGATGTCCCCATAGCTTTATTTCAGCACATGTCCATGGACAGAGCAGAAGACCCCCCAGAGAGGGGGCAGAGGACCCTCCAGAGAGTCGGAGCCCCGGTGGACCCCCTAACACTGCTCCTGGTAGGAGCGTTTAAATTAAGCTATGCTGATGGTCTGGCCCCGCCCCTTTTGCTTTCAGCCCCGCCTCCCACCAGAATGTAGTCCTTGAGAAATTCTCTCAAATTGAGTTTGATCCCTTTAGGTTCATTAGGTGCTGACTCCCATCAGCCCCAGCCAGCTTAGCTGAATGTCTGGGATGATGGGAATTCTAGTCCAACCTGTGAAGGGCCACAAATTCCCCACCCTTGTTATAGGGGCATGTTTTTCTGTATGTGGTACATCACTCTTAACTTGTTATGTAGGAACAAGCAACTGTATTTAGTTTGGGGCAGAGACTTAACGGTTAGCTGTTGGCATGGTAGACAGCCAAGGGCTGGGTGCAGAATCCCTGAAAACAGCTGATTGAGAGTTTTTGTTTTTAAGTTATGAACTATAAGTAAGCTGACAGAGCATACACAAGGTTGTGTCAAGGTGGGTGGGGAATCCATTTAATGCTTGCACAAGGTGGGTACCATGGCTGAAAACAAACTTGTCTTCCTCTCATAGCCCCTTTTCTACACCTTTCTCTTCATCCTTTGGGTCCTTCCCTCAAATTCTGGCATCTGCCATAGACTTGCTTTTGTACTAATTAGGGGAAATGGTCGAATAATGATTGGCTGGGCCATCATCCAGTTAAATAACCCAAAGGTATTTTGTGGCCGGGAGTTCCCACTAGTCCTAAGCAACGGTGAAGAATGATAGGCAGTGGTACCCAATACCTGCAGGGTTATCTGTTGCCTACCTTGTCCTTGTGGTTTCGTGCCATCAAATCATCTCTGGCTTACGGCGAGCCAATGACCAAGTGCCCTCCAAAATGTCCGATCCTGGACAGCCCTGCTCAGGTCTTGCAAACTCGAGGCTGTGGATTCGTTGGAGTCCATCCTTCACAAGTTCCTCTTCTTTCTTTCCTTTGAATTTCCCTGGCATGATGGTCTTCGCCAGCTGATCCTGCCTTCTCACGAGGAGCCCAAAGCCCAACAGCCTCAGTTTCCGTATGTTTGCTTCTAAGGAAAGTTCTGGCTTGATTTGGTCCCTGGTTCCTCTGTCTGTCCATCCAGGGTATTTGCAAACCCATGTTTTGAATGCATCTGTTTTCTTCCTGTCAGCTTTCTTCACTGCCCAACTTTCATAGAGTGAGTCAGAAGGGGCCTCCTGGGCCATCTAGTCTGACCCCCGACTCCAGCCAGCTCCATTCATGACATGCCTACCAATTGCATGTCCCGCTTTCACACCCAACTGTAGTGATTGGGAACGCAAGAGTGCAGCTGATCTTGGCCTTCGCCTCCAGTGGAATGTCCTCGCCCTGGGTGATCTGTTCCTTCAGCACTGCCCTTCCAAACTCCAGTCTCCTGCAAGTCTCCATTTGAATTGATGATGCAAAATCTGCCCTCATTTTAGTGGATTGTATATATTCCCTTTACATGAACTGATAAAGGGTGCAGTCCTATAGCCTCCCGACATTGCCTGCAGAATTTATTTGGAATCCCAGCTCTGAGATCTCTGACTGGAGTTCCTGCCCTGCTCCTGCAGCCAAACCTCAGCCTCTCTGAGGTCAGAAATCAACCTCAGAGAGGAGGAAAAAGGGTGTGCTGCTGGTGGGGAGGGGAGGAGGCCGAGACAACAGCAGAACAGCACCCCTCTCCAGGACACTTCCTCTAAAATGGGTCCAGGAGTCCTACAGGAGTGCCTTTGCTCACCTATTCCACCTAGTCTGCTAAGGTCTGCTGGGAATAATCTTCTGAAGTTTATTTCTGCAAGATTAATACCAACTACACAGAGGACTTTCTCAGTGGCCACCCTAAACTAGGAAACAGCCTGCTGGGAGAGATGATTATCCCAGATGATTAGATTCCAGAGGGAGCTAACCAACCGTGTATCTCTTCCAACAAGCCTTCCCAGCTTAGTTCCCAGATTAGTTTTCGTGAGTATGCTTGTTTTTAGTCTAATTTTGAATTGCTGGCTTTCATCTCTTGCAAACTGACTGGTGCATAGGGGAATGGGGTGGTATATAAAAAAATCAAACTAAAGAGAGAGACTGATGGATCTAGATAGCCAAGCGTGTCTGTCAAATGAAACGCGAGGCACAGGGTGAGCAGCAGTGGAGATCGCTGCTTCTCAGCCTTGCACTCTGCACTGAGTTCTGCAGATCGGCCTCCATCTTCACATGCAGATTCCTCACAGAGCTTGGATCATATCCTAAGGGAGAAATCCCATCCTGCCAGGGAGGGCTCCTAGGAGCCATGGAAGTTCTTGGACCTTCCTTTGCAGGCAGAGAAACGCCTCCTGGGGTTAGAGCAGGCAGCTGCAGCAGGGACTGTGCCCCTCAAAGTGTTTTGTGGGGCAGTGGGGATCAGTGGTTACTGCCGAATAGGTTTGTCCTGGAATCCCCATGTCCTGAGTCAGGAAGACTCCAATTCAACCCTGCTCAGCTCAGTAAACTGTTAAGTTAATTTCCCCCTCCTTGGCAGATAAAGCCTAGGATGACTTTTAAAGCAGCTGTGGAATTGGTTGGGTTTGCAGTGACCTCAGCTTTTTCGGGGGATACTAGCGCCAGAGAATGACCGATTTGGCCAAAGGCTGGACACAGTGATGAAACGGCTGCATTTGCCAATTTCCCCCTTCTGCTCCCATCTAGGCAAGTCTTACGAAAAGTTGTGCTGAAATTCCTTCATCGTATCTGTGAGACTGGTAAGCCTCACCATTAGAAGCCCAGAGGCACTGCAGGGGAGTTAATGCGCCAAGCTGGTTGAAGGATGCTGTGTGACTGTGTACATCAACCGCACGTGCAAATTCGACACATTCGGTCCATTTGCAGGCTCCCCAGCATCTAACCTGAAGGGTCCTCAGAGCAAGGCAGCACCCAAGTTTTGGGGGGGGGGGGTACCACAATTGCCGGAGGCCTTATGGGCAATACAAGGCCACAACTACTCCCCATAATGTGAAGGTTTTACTGACCACGTGGATCTGATTGCTGAGTTTTGCTGTCAACCAATGAATCTGCTGATAAACACGGCAGACATGTGGAGAGTCATTGCAAAAGCATAAAATTACATAGCCGGTAAAAGATTAAAATAGTCTCCGATGTGCTCACAGAGATTATAACAAACAGAAGCCACAGAAAAAAGCTGACAATTTCCTTTTGTCAGCCTGGCTCCCAATCTGACTGGCAGGGAATGACTGGCAGCATTTCTGACTCTGAAAACTTTGTTCTTTTGAGCCAAGAATTAGGCTGGGTTTGAAAAAAGAGACTGTGTGTTCTTTGGAGGAATGTTGTGTCCGGAGTGGCAGTTAAAACGGTGGGCCCTGAGCTGGCACAGTCCTGCTCAAATCTTAGCCAGTGGGTATTTGCCCTGTGCTTGTCCTACGGGGGTCAGTAATACTTGGCCTACCTTACAGGAGCGTTGTATGACTTCTGAAAAAATCTATGTGAAGGGGATTGTGCACTTACAGGGAAGTGCTTGGCAAATAAGTATTATTAGTCTTGGGATTAGGGTATTGTTTTAGATATTCTCTATTTCTAAATGCCTTCTTCTGTCTTCTGGTCTGGAATTCCTTTAAATAAAAGCCTTGAGTTGGTTAAGTGTGTTGAATTTTCCCAGGTTATTCTCTACCAGCGCTCTCCAGCCAACACCTTCCAGATTTGTTGGACTGCAGCTCCCACCATCCCCAGCCAGCATGGCCAACACATTAATAGGGTGCCCGGTTGTTTTCTACAATCCCTGGGTGGGGAAATATTGCTCATCTTAAGAACAAAGACAGGGCACAATCCAAAATAAGTATGCAAGGAGTAAGTCCTGGTGAATGTCATGGAATTTATTTCAGAGTAACCAGAAGTACAATCATGCTTTGAAAAGGAGAGGGGACAGACTTAAGTATAAGCAAAATGGGAAATGCACACAGCCTTCAGACCATAAGAACATGGCCAGCTGTGCAGGAAAACCCACAAACAGGATGTGACCGCAACAGTATTCCCCCACCCACGTTCCCCAGCAACAGTTCTACACACGTATGCTGGCTCTGATACTGGATGAATCATATGGTCATGAGCCACTGATCGCATACACCACTCATGTTTTCCTTCACTTTTTCCCAGTAGTTGTACTCTTTCATCATAGAAGAGCTGCTCCAACACCTGATGAACACCAGAGGGCTATTTTATTTATTTAAAACTCTAGACCATCCCTTACCGTGGTCTTGGGAAGTTTAACAGTAAGACAAAATACAGTATCCCAATAAAAAATTTCCAATCAACCATAAAACCCCAATTAAGACAACCAAATGTTAACACATTGGAAAAATAAAAAGGATTTAGCCTGGAGCCAAAAAGAATAGTGACGGCACCAGGTGAACCTCCCTGGGAAGCGAATTCCACAATTGGGGTGCCACCACAGAGAAGGCCCTTATCCAGGTAGTCACCCTCCTAATCTCCTTCAAGGAGGGCTCCTGGGGAAGGGCCTCTGCCCCAGATCTCAAGGGGCAGGCAGGCACATAGGGAAGGAGGTGCTCTTTCGGGTGACCAGGCCCTAAGCCATTTAGGGCTTTATAGGTCATCAGCAGCACCTTAAATTGGGCCTGGGCTTCAACTGGAAGCCAGTGTAGGTGGAAAAGGACTGGCATTGTATGTTCATACCTGCCAGTCCCTGATAACAACCTGGTGGCTCTATTCTGGACCAGCTGAAGTATCCGGACCATCTTCAAGGGCAGCCCCACGTAACGCGCATTGCAGTAGTCCAATTGGGAGGTTACCAGCACATGGGTCACCGCTGCCAGGCACTGCCCATCCAGATAGGGGCGCAGTTGATGCATCAGCCGAAGCTGGAGGAAAGTGCCCCTCACCACACCGCCACCTGGGATTCCAGGGACATCTCTGGATCGAGGAGCACTCCTAAACTGTGCACCCCATTTTGGGACCCGAGGTTGGCCAAATTCTGAGGATTCCTACTGGCTTAGATTCGTCCCTCCCCCTCTGATGTTCGCTGGCTGTGTAAAGGGGAAATTTTACTGTGGCCTGTCCTGTTTGAATCTCCAGCTTTCTCTCCCAGCCTTACACTGAAGATCTCTGCAGTTTGCATCCCTTGGCAAAACGCCATGTACACTGATTGATTTTGTTATCGATCATTACGAATTTTTATACGCTGTCCCATTCTTCTAAACTGCCAAGGGCCTGTGGGACTGGGACAGTGTATAAAAATTAGTAATGATGATGAAATCAATCGCCTGGCAAGGCTACTGAACACAGAGTCAGAGTGGATGAGAAAAATACTTTGCATCACACCAGAGTGACTGGAGAAGTTTGGAAACCTGAGATATGTAAAGAGAAATGTTTAAAAAGGCTGTACAGTAGGTCTGCACGTAGAGGCCTGTCTTGCAACAAGATACTGCAGTACCAAGTCAAGTGAGTGCTGCCAGTTTAAAATGACCACTGAATATCTTGGTCTTTTTAAAGCTATTTGAGGGGCTTGCTCTGGCCCAACACCCTTAGAGGGTCTTTCCCTCTACAAAGTGTACTTCTGGAAAAGGTGGGATTCTCCCAGACCAGCTGACACCTCCCTTGTGCATGAAAAAGGGTGTCCTTTCACATGCAAAAGTAACAGCGCATCAGATAGGAAGGCAAGACCTTGCAATGTAGGCACTGTTGTCTCTCTGGGTTGGGAATGCGTCTGTGTAGACAGATAATCTGTAAGTTCGAATTTTCTTAGCCCATGTCATCTCATTTCAAAACTGCAGTCTCTCTTCAATAAAACAATAGCGGCTCTCTTGTGACATCCATCTATCCCAGAACCGAGATGACCACCAAACTGGATGTCTCCAGGGAGAAGGCATTTCCTACATCACCATTTACCAAGGAAAGTCTTCCCCAAATCGAAATTATCACAATATGCCCACATCCAGAAATGACCTTGCTCGCTTGCTTTTCCTCCCCGTGCCTCTGCTAGAGGACTTACAAGAGGGGTAGCGGTGAAGGTTCAGCGTACAGTCCTATATATGATTAAGCAGAAAAAAGGTCTAGAACTCCCAGCATGCCCTAGCTAGCGGCTGGGGCATGCTGGGAGTAGATCTTTTTTCTATTGTAACACACGTGTTGCTCACTTCCACTGTAACCCTACACAAGTTTACTCAGAAGCCAGCGCTGCTGAGCTCACTGGGACTTACTCCCAGAAAAGTGTGAAGAGGATTGCAGCGTTAAGAGTGGAGGATGCATGGAAAACTTGTGCCCCCCATATCTGGTTGGCCTGCCAACTTAACAGCCCCAGAATGGCCAATGGTTGGGGATGATGGAAAATGGAGTCCCCCACCCCTGGCTTCCAGTTTAACCTAACGGAAAGTTCTGTGGCTCAAGCACCCTGGAAATGAACGCCGGTGCAGCAACTGCATCGTCCAGCATGTTTCCCCTTCAGTTCTATGGAAGTGCCTCTCGACCTCTCGGCCTCCCTTTTTTTGCCTCACTCCCATCCTATGTAGCTAATTTGGTAATGGAGAGGCTGTAAGCCTTGTCTGAAGGCAGCACCCTCCGTGTGGATCTGGGCCAGAACTCCAGTTTTGATGTCACAAAGCTGGATGCTGTTTGGTCTGCCACAGGATTTCCCCGCCCTGGGAGGAATCTCTCCCAAAACACGGTCTGAACCCAAGCTGAACTGTGTCTCACAGTTTGCGCACTGAGATTGTTTCCTCCTAGTGTGGATCCTCCCTATGGGACGGCTGGTACTCTTCCTGCAATCCGCGTACATGTGTAGTTTCTCTCCCAAGTGGGTGAGCTGGTGCCTAATCAAATTTGAGTTCGAGAGGAAGCTCTTTTCACACTTGGTGCATTTGTACAGCTTCTCTCCGGTGTGGATTCTCTCATGAACAATGAGACCTGATGGCCAACTGAACCCTCACTCACAGACAGAGCATTTGTATGGCTTCTCTGTTGCACGGATTCTCTGGTGTGTGATCAGCTGCAAGCTGAAACGGAACCTCTTCTCACACTCCATGCATTTGTACAACTTCTCCTCACGATGGATTTTCTCATGAGCAATAAGGCTCATGTCACGTGGCTGTACCTTTTTTCACACAGCAAGCACTTGTATGGCTTCTCTTGCCTATGTATTCTCTCATGCACAGCAAGGGAGGGCTTCTGGTTGAAGCTCCTTTCACAGACTGAGCACTGGTAGGGCTTCTCCCCAGTGTGAATTCTCTGGTGTCTGTCAAGACTGGAGCTCAAACTGAAGCTCTTCCCACAATCTGCACATTTGTACGGCTTCTCTCCTGTGTGGATTCTTTGATGTGTAATTAAGTTAGTTCTCCTGTAGAAGCTTTTCCCACAGTCCATACAGGTGTGGGATTTCTCCCCGGTGTGGATTCTCTTATGTCTAACCGACTTGCTTGGTTGCTGAATCCCTTCCCCCACACAGAGCATACCTCTTGAGTTTCATGCCCCACATTCTTGCTTAGGCCCACAAAAATCACTGTTTCGTGCACTATTTCCCCATGATGTCTTCCTTGTGCCTTCTTGGATCTGAGGAGAGTCTCGGGGATGCCCTCCTCTTCCTGCAGTTGGGGTATCACCTCTTCAGGGTTTCTCAGCAATGTCCCATTTGCCCCCGCCAACTCAAAATCCTCCAGCTGGAGCTTCTCTTCCTTGTTTTCACTCACTCTTTCAGCAACTCCTGGAAGAAAGAGACTATATCTTGGCATCTGGTCAGGAGACACCCTGAACACCTATCTGAAATTCAGTATTAATGACTCATCAAAAATGTTTTTTTTTTTTTAATTCAAGACAGCTTAGCATACTTCAAAAACAAGAGCACTCGAATTAAAGTGGAACAGACTCAAGTTGCAGCAGTGCAACTAAAGATTTTTAGGCACCAAACAAAGACTGTAATAAGCGAGTCTTCAGGGTTTGGTTTGGCTTGACTCGCTTTTGAAAGTTGGCCATGATGTGACCATGTGTCTCCCTGAGGAGGGAGTTACAACGGTGTGGGGCCACTCTGGACAATGCCCTCTCCCTGTTATTGTATTTATATTGTATTTGTAAAGGTTTTAATCTTTCATTTACCACCTAGAAAACTTTGGCTACTTAGAAATGTGGTGGAGGAGGAGGTATAGTACAGTATAGCGATATCCTATATCCTATATCTATACCACCAGCTTAAGGGGCGGAAAGTAGGGCTTCTGACGTGTAAAGCAGGACACAAATCAGACCAATCCCACACATGGGTTATAGGACCCTTATGTTCTGTTTCTTGGTTTGTCAGTGTCCCTTTTAGACTGTAAACTCCTTGCAGGCAGAGACCTGTCCAGACGTTTCTTGCCTATGAAATTCTGTCCAGGGCTATGTGTGCTGATGGTAGTGGAAACAGACGGAGGCATGTAACAAACCACCCCACCCTCATCCCACTAGAACGGCAGGCAGGAACCAGGAGATGTCGGAGCGACTCCAGAATATCCCACCACACGTTTTGTTTTCAGAACTGCCAAATGACCCAGTGGTGGTTACAGTTCGCTCTGCCAGCCATGCCCTCCTCCAGGCTGCTCCATTACGTTACCCCGGCACCCATTTCTCCATTCCCTTCCCTCCTTCAACGGATTTCCTCCCTGGGCTATTTTGGGATTCTTCCCTGTGCATCTTTTTCGCCCTTGAATTTGTTCTGCACCTCCCTCTCGGGCAGTTCCATTTTTTTGCTACATCAGCAACGGGAGAGATGTGTAAACATCAGAAACAGAGGGGATTATTAGATATAACGAAGGGTGCCCAGCCTGTTCCAGATGGGGTCACACTCCCCCTGAAGGAGCAGGGTACTCCTTGATCCGTCTTTGTCACTTGGGGCCCAGATGGCTCAGAGTGCCTTCTTCTGGTGGCCCAGCTGTGCCCCTAACTGCACAGGGCTAGCCTGGCTTCAGTAATCTATGGCTGGCTATCTCTAGACTAGACTACTGCAAGGTGCGCTACATGGGGCTGCCCTTGTTGATTGTATTTATTTATTAAAAGCTCTTGTATGCCGTCCTATTATACAAGATCTCAGGATGGCTTACAGTATTTAAAAAAACACTTAAAACAACAATTTCAATAAATAATAGAACAGAACAAAACAATAAATCACAAAACAAACAGCGCACCTAAACTTAAAAGCTGCTACATTTTAAAATACTGTTTAAATAAAAAGGTTTTGGCCTGGCGCCTAAGAGAGTATAAACTCGAAGACAGTTCAGAAACTGTGGCTGATACAGAAAGCTGCAGCCAGATTAATAGCTGAGACCCATCGTTCCAAACACATAATGTTCTGGCCCATTTCATCGGCTGCCTGTATGCACCCAGGCCCAATTCAAGGTGCTGGTTTTAACCGACAAAGTCTTACATGGCTTGGGACTGCAATACAGTGGTACCTTGGTTCATGAACTTAATTCGTTCCATGTTTCTGGTTGCGAACCGAATTGGTCAGGAACGGAGTCAAATTTACCCGAAAGGTTCAATGTAAATAAAGTTAATCCGTTCTGACCCCTACGAACGTGGCCGCAAACCGATTTTGGTCACAAACCGAATCAAGTTTTCCCAATGATGTTCAATGGAAATAAGGTTAATCCATCTGTGGTTTTTTTTTTAAATCACAAAAATTTGAAGCAAAGTACAGTACAGTTTGAAGAGAGAGAACACTAACCTGGGTGGGGGGAGGTTATTTTTTGGAGGGAGAGTCCCCCTCCATAAGGACATCGGGGAGATCTCCTTCAGGGGTTTCCTCTCTTCTTCGTCTCTTAGCTGCAGGGTAAATTTTGGCAAAAAATCCATTTGATGTCACTTGCTTTTTCCTGCGCTGCACAACTCTCCGGAAAGGAGAGACCACGTTATCGTTCATCAGATTCAACACTCTGTTCGTCACAGTTATGTTGGGGTGGTGCTTCTCAAAGAAATCCTGGCACTCGTTCCATTTCCCCATAATGGATTGTATCACATCACTGCTAACCTCCTCCCTGCCTTCCTCTTCCTCGGTGGAATGCTTCTCGACAAGCGCCTTCTGCTGCTCGCTCTGCAGTTCAGCGAGTTCTTCCGTCGTAAGCTCCTCCTTTTGGTCCTCGACGAGGCCCTCTATCTCTGCTCCACTGACATCCAGACCCATACTCCTGCCCAGGGACACGATCTCCTCCACGACCTGCGCGTCAGACCCTCCAAAGTCCCATTCAGTGACGCATTCTGGCCACAGATTCCCCCAGGCTGAGTTTAAGGTCCGGTGTGTGACCTCTTCCCAGGCTTTGCCAATGAGGTCGATGCAGTGGAGGACGTTGAAATGTTTCTTCCAGAACTCTTTCAGAGTCAAGGACGTCTCTTCAGTGGCATTAAAGCACCTGGTGAAGAGCGCCTTTGTGTACAGCTTCTTGAAGCTGCAGATCACCCGCTGGTCCATGGGCTGCAGAAGAGGGGTTGTGCTGGGGGGGAGGAACCTGACCTTTATGAAGTCACACTCGGCATCCATCTCATCCACCAAGGCTGGAGGGTGGGCCGGGGCACTGTCCATCAGAAGGAGGCACCTTTCCGGTAGTTGGTTGTCGGAAAGGTATTTCTTCACGGTGGGCGCGAACACCTCGTGCAGCCATTCCATGAACAACTGCCTCGTGACCCAAGCCCTTGCGTTGGCCCTCCACATGACGGGCAGCCTGGCCTTGTTCACGTTCTGCTCCTTGAAGGCACGAGGGGTCTGGGAATGGTACACCAGCAGTGGCTTAATCTTCAGATCGGCGCTTGCGTTCGCGCACAGCAAAAGGGTCAATCGGTCCTTCATGGGCTTGTGCCCCGGCAGCGCCTTTTCCTCCTGTGTGATATCGGTTCTGTTTGGCATCTTCTTCCAGAAGAGGCCTGTTTCGTCACAGGTGAACACCTGCTGAGCGACGTATCCTTCCGCCCTCACGAACTCCGCAAATTCTTTCCTGAAGGCTTCTGCAGCGGCCTTGTCAGAACTGGAAGCCTCGCCGTGTCTTATCACGCTGCGGAGGCCGCTTCTCCTGCGGAAATTATCAAACCACCCTCTACTGGCTTTAAATTCAACACTCCCTGCACTTCTAGTGGGGGTTTTTTGCAGTAAATCACTGTGCAATTTCCTGGCTTTTTCACAGATCATCGCTTCAGTAACGCTATCGCCTGCCAGCTGTTTCTCATTCAGCCACACTAACAGAAGTTTTTCCACCTCTTCCAGCACTTGAGTCCTCTGCTTGCTAAACAGCGTCACTCCTTTTGCCAGATTAGCTCGTTTGATGGCATCTTTACGCTTCAAAATAGTCGAGATGGTCGACTTCGCCATCTTGTACTCCAAGGCCAGATCAGTCACACGAATACCACGCTCGTGCTTTTCTACAATTTCCTTTTTCAATTCAATGGTTATTTTCTTTGAAACCTTCCTCTTACTATTCTTGCTCTGCACGTTCTGGTCACCTTCATTACCGCTCTGCACGTTTTTGTCACCTTCATTATCGCTCTGCACGCTCTGCAGGCCCATGCTGGATTGAATAATACTGTACAGTACTGTATGTGCTACATTAAGAAAACTAAGATCATGGCATCCGGTCCTTTCACTTCCTGGCAAATAGATGGGGAAGAAATGGAGGTAGTGACAGATTTTATTTTCCTGGGCTCCAAGATCACCGCAGATGGGGACTGCAGCCAAGAAATTAAAAGACGCTTGCTCCTGGGGAGGAAAGCTATGGCAAATCTAGACAGCATACTAAAAAGCAGAGACATCACCCTGCTGACAAAAGTGCGTATAGTCAAGGCTACGGTTTTCCCAGTTGCAATGTATGGCTGTGAAAGCTGGACCATAAGGAAGGCTGAGCCCCAAAGAACTGAGACCTTTGAATTGTGGTGCTGGAGGAGACTCCTGAGAGTCCCCTGGACTGCAAGGCGGTCAAACCGGTCAGTCCTAGAGAAGATCAACCCCGACTGCTCTTTAGAAGGCCAGATACTGAAGATAAATGGATTAACCTTATTTACGTTGAACCTTATTGGGAAAATTGACTTGGTTCACAACCAATTCGGGTCAAGACCAGAATCGTGGAACGAATTAAGTTCGTGAACCGACGTACCACTGTACTTCGGCTCACGAATGCCTCAGTTCACAACCAAATCAGGTTGTGCACATAAATTTCAGAAAAATTTTGCCTGAGGTCGCAAACTCTGCATCAGATGATGATCATGACCGCGCCCCCTTCCCTGCATGGGTGCAATCATAGTTGTGCTCGGGGAGCGGGGGAGAGATGGCCACGAACGAGCTGGGAGGGGAGATGGCCGTGATCACATTCGTGCTTGTGCAGGGATAAGTTGTCTGTCATTTTGATTCAAATTTTTGTGATTAAAAACTGGTTACAAAATGGATTAACCTTATTTACATTGAACCTTATGGGGAAATTTGACTTGGTTCGCGACCAATTTGGGTTGTGACCAGAATCTGGAACGAATTAAGTTCGTGAACTGAGGTACCACTGTACTTGGTTCCCCAGGGGCTTGAGGAAATTACTCATCCCGGGTGTTGTATGTTTACAGGGTCATTTTTACTGTGTTTAGCTGTTCTATTCTTGTTTTTAACGGCTGCTTCAACTGTATGATTTTTTAAATATCTGTATCATATGTTATGGTTTATTTTTATGGACTGCTGTAATAGCTATTCAGCTATCGTACAGTATAGAAATGAAACAAATTGTTAAGCAATAGATAATGAGGAACTAGCTCTAACAATTGCAATGGAACTTCCATATACAGGAGCGGTGTATCTTCTTCTTCCTTCTCTTTTCTCCTCCTATATTCTTTATTTACTTATTTTATACTGTTAATTTTAATTTTATATTATTGTATCTCAGTGTATTTTTTGTATTTTTGTATTTAGTGGTAATTTATTATGTTCTATTGTATTTCAATGTATCTTATTGTGTTGTAAGCCGCCCCGAGGCTTCGGCAAGGGGCGGCATAGAAATGTTATAATAATAATAATAATAATGATTATGATGATGATGATGATGATGATGCCAAATTGTGGAGGTCAAACAACCTGGAAGGGTCACCTCAGCCTTGCCCTGCTCGGTGGATGTCCCAGAAACATCTGATTCACCACTGTGCAAATCAGGAAAACGACCAAACGGACCTTTGGCTTGATCATGTCTCTTCTGAGGAGCCTCAGAGGGAAGAGTGAGAACCCATTCTCCCCTGCCCGGGAGTTTAATCCAAAAATCACTGGAGGTCAGGCTCCTCCATGTAAAACTCCATGCCTAATTCACAAAAGTTTTCAAATTCCACCGGCTATAAGTTTTCCATTTTAACAGGGCTTTAAAACGGGTTTCAAAGGGACTTTTAAACAATTTGAAAAAGACTTTCAAACACCTGGTGGCCTTCCAGATATTCTGGCCTACGACAACCCCCCGCAGCCCTGTGCCAGCAAACCATCTGTGAGGAACAGTGGAAACCGTAGGACATAACATCTACAAGACCCTTTGTATCCTGTCCCTGAAGTCAAAAAAATCTGTTTTCTGTTTTTGTAGGACCTCACCTGCACACCTGCTCGGGGTCTCCTCCAAACCACAAACAGCCTCCTGCCTCCAGAACTCGCTGACTTGGTCCAAGGGAGAAAACGTATCCGGGCTTAGGAGGGCTAAAGGAGAAATAAGAAGAGACATTGGGAGAGAAATGAGGTGCAGGAGAGATGAGATGTCATACTTATGAGGAAGAAGCAGCAAAATGGAGCAACTTCACCGTATACTGGGGACAATTCCATTTTTGTTTCAAGACGCTTGTGAGAATATCTTGTTCTAATCCTTACAACATCCCTGTAAGGCAGGACAGTACTGTTACATCGATATTGCAGCCATGTGTCGGGTTCACTCTGGCTCTGGATTGTTTCGCGAAGCAGGGGGTTGGGATAGGTGACCTCCATGGACCCCTCCAACTTCACAATTGCATAATTCTACTGGCCACGTGGAGGCTTTTCCTTCATAGGGTTGCCAGAGGTGGGGGACCAGCTGTCACAACCCATCTCGAGATCTGTCCCAATCCAGGTTATTGTGGGATTTCCCTCTCCCGTGCAACAATTCCATTGGAATGACATACTTCCCGTTTTTTCCTTGGAATGGTACACATCTTTAGCACACAGTTCTTCCATTTCCTCCAGCTGAGAGATCACGTCTGGCTTGGTGAGCTCCAGGACTGGTCAGGAGGGCAAATTGGAGAAGAAGCGGAGCAAATCACACATTGTTAATGCATCCAGAGTTATCATTCATTCATTCATTCATTCATTAAAACATTTCTATGCCGCCCCTTGCCGAAGCCTCAGGGCAGCTCACAACATTGAATAAAATACACAATAAATTAAAACAATAACAATTAAAATATATACAGTAGAATAAAATAATAAAATAAAATAAAAAATCATGAGACTGGGAGAAGATTTCTCATCCTGAACCTTATCCTCATCCCCACATTGCATTTATATCCCACTGTTCTTCCTGTTGCAAGGAACCCATTTCATCTTCACAACAACAACCCTGTGAGGTAGGCTCTTTTGAGCTTGAAGGGTGTGGTGGGTGAAGAATACAATGAACCGGATGCCAGGCACTCAATCACTTTCTTGGATTGACAAGGCAGGAAAGGATATAGGCAAAATCTATGATTTGTTCCTTCCTGGAAAACTCACTCTGTGCCATATTGCAGCAGCTCAGGGATAATCTTCTTTTAAAGGATTGAGTTCAGGCACCACAAATTCTGCAAGACTGAACCCGAAAGGGGCTTTGATAACACTGACTGGCTAGCATCTGTGCCCACCCCCGATTGGCTGGCAGCCATGCCATCCCATGAAACCTCTCCTTCTAGGGTCGTTTTTCAACTTAAAAATGCAAGGTGCATCGCTTTTAAACACTGAGTAATTTAAAATAGAGTGGTGCCTCGGTTCACCAACTTAATTCGTTCCACGATTCTGGTCACGAACCGAATTGGTCACGAACCAAGTCAAATTTCCCCATAAGGTTCAATGTAAATAAGGTTAATCCATTCTGACCCATAACTTTATGTATACATAAAGGACGGCCTAGAAAAGTCTTCAATAAATAAATACGTAATTGTTTTTAACTACAAAAATATGAGCCACGTCCCCAGGCTGTGGGCCGAGCCGCGGCTGCCTCGCCGAGCCTGGGCGCTGACGGGCCGAGACAGAGCAGGAGCCGGGCCGGCCAGGGCCTTCTCAGGGCAAGACGCAGCTGAGCGGCCGCCATGTTTCTTCCCCCCGCGGCAGGGAGAGGCGGAAGCGCCCCGCTCGGCCAGCCGGCCGCAGCTCCGTCCCTCGCCTCAGCCCGCGGAAAGCAGCCATTACCTCCCTCCTCACGGCCACCTCTCCGGCCTCCCACTCCTGCTCCCCTCCCGGAGCCGGGCGAGCGCCTGCGAGGGGACCGTCCTCCGTCTCGGTCATCACCCGACGCGGAGTTCGCGAACAGAGGCAACATTTTGCCAGACTTTCTGTTCGCGAACCGATCTGTTCGCAAACAGAAGCGTTCGTGAACCGAGGTACCACTGTGCTGCTGCTACCTTTATTTATTTATATTGCGATTTATATCCTGCCTTTTTCCTACAAAGGGCTCAAGGCAGCTTACATC